CGCATTGTATTTTGTGAAGTGATGTGCAGATCATATCGGATGCGTTGCTATGAGAACTGAAGTACTTTCTCTCTCTCTCTCTCTCTCTCTCTCTCTCTCTCTCTCATCCCATTCACATAATTCTAAATAATATCAATAGCCATAAAAAAAATCCCACAATTTATAAACCTATGAATAAATGTTAACTCAAATGGTTATCCCTATTATGAATAAGTGTATGAATTGTAAATATATGTTATATTCCTTGAAAGGCATTATTTTTATTTTTGGTTAAAAGTTAGAGCAGAGAAGATGTTAGAAGATGTGAAGGGAAAAAATTTTCAATTTCTTGAAGTATATTCATTGGAGCGCAAGTCAGTGCACATCAAGCGCTCAAACAAACCATTTTTATTCAGTGAACCAAAGATAAAGAAATTTTTGTGAACATCTTATGTATAGAATAAACAAAAGCCAAAATATAAAAGCATAGAAAGTGGAGAACAAACTACGAAAAGAATAGATTAAAAATTCAATTGACATTAAAATGAGAAAATAAATATTTGAGTTAAAAATTCCTTTTATTTTAAAACTAATTTCACTAAAGAATACATATATTTATATAATTATTTTATAAATTATCTCTTAATAGAGTTTTAATATGTTTTTGTTTTCTCTTTAGACAAAGTTTGTGATTTGCATTTCAAATGATTTAAAAGTTACGCTTTTATTTAGTACAAGAAAACGGTTTAGTTTATAAACTACTGTATAAATCGTATAAATGGATCACATTTTACATTAAACTAAGAGAATAAGAGAAAAATGTGTTTTTCACTCTTAAGTAAACAAAACTATTAATACAAATGTGTGTTCACTAAAGCGAGGAAAGGGAAGGTACAGTACACTATACAATATATATTTATATAATATATAACATTATACAGTAAAGTATATTAAATACAGCGTTAAGTTAACGAAAGATTTCTACCACATCTCGCACTTCACTTCTGGATTCATATTAGAGCCGAGCGGACAGTCAAAGGCCTTAGAGAAGTGTCCAAAGTTGGAGAGCGCGCCGTTCACTCTGTACTTCTCCGGCGAATGCACTCCTCGAAGGATTTTGTGTCTCACTTGCGATGGGATTATATAACGACACCATTTCTAATAAATCATTTCTGAATTATCTCATATTTTAAATCAATGCTAACGCACAGCGAGTTTATGGCCGCCCTTTCTTACAGCCTTATGCACTGGGCATTAGGCCAACCGTAAGCATCCATAGACTATAGCGCAAAACCATAGCCCATAACATACCTGTGCGTAGGAGAGGAAGAATAGCTGTTGTGGTGTGTATTGCGAAAAGTTGGGCAATAGTTTGATATCGTTGTAGATTTTGTTAAGATTTTGTTTAATTATGTTATTAAACGCGTTGAACGACGCTTTCAGGCCAGCGATGTCACCAATATCTTCCTCGAAGGTCTTCATACCGTCCAACTAATCGACAATAAAATTCATATCAATATTATTGATTTCGCATAACATATAACATTCATTCAATCAATTTATTTAATAACGAAATTCATATATATTTTTATATACGAGTGAATAAAGTAATGTTTTATTAATGATATGACATTTGGATGTCTGTTGGAGAGAGGAGAGGAGAATAGGGAAGAGGGAGAGGGGAGAGAGAGAGAGAGAGAGAGAGAGAGAGAGAGAGCATATGAAGAGGAATAGGTTTGACATACATTCATATCACTCGATTGGTCGAAGTAAGCGCTGTATTGGTCTACAAAACACTTGGCTTTTGATAAGAAGACATTGATGTTGGAGTCGTTCCAGGGATACAACAGCCGCTCGTCGGCGTTATAGCGAGGCATTGAGGCGTGAGATATCTCGTGTCCCACGAATGAACCAATGGATCCGAAATTTATATATCTGTTATAACCAGAGACAGAAAGACAGAGAGACAGAGACATCAATTTTTGATATTGACATGTAATTACATGTGTATTCATATCACTATTTATCATAACTATATATGCAGTTCTTGTAAAAAATAAAATTTATATATTTGTCAATTCAATAGTCATTTCAAGACATACGCCGGTCTTTTGCTGTCATAAAAAGGCGGATGAAGTAAACCAATAGGTATTGCTTTACGATAAAAATAGACATATAAATTATATTGCCATTGTTATATGTGGTTATATTAATAGTGAAGTTTAATGTCTCACTAATTAAATTGTCAATTATATCGTAAGACGCGCCCACATATAGCGGCGACTGATCCCAATTGACACTTTTGTTCACTGGTTTGCCAACACTTTTCAGATATTTGCTCATAGAATATGTCCATAGATTCATATAATTATGAGCTAATTGTTGGCTTTCATTGTGGTGTGCGGTTAACGACTAGTTTAGCGATCAAAGTATGCAAACATTGGTTTTATTTGAAAATTTTAATTATCGTTCCGTCGAAAGCGACACAAAAAAGAAGAAGAAAAGAGAAATAATTTAGTTATGAGTTTTAGTGTCGAGACTTAAACACAATGAATATAATCACCAAATTTTGATGAAATGCCAGGAATTGGTTGTCGTCGAACAACCAGTCAGGATATCCGACATTCTCTCTGATAGTCGACACTTTGTTAATAAACTCACTTTTATTGTCCAACCATTGCTTCTCTTCCATCAATTCAATGAACGATTGTTTCACTGATTTGACGATTTCGTAGACTCGATGTCTCTCCGGTTGTGTCAAATATTTCTTCGCATACTCTCGAGTCAACAAATACGGCAAATGTGTCTTCAATGGCTTCAGACACTGTTTCCATAACGTCTTGGTTCTCTCATTGGATTGAATGTCGTGAAATGTACGTTGGTGATCTAGATATGTGCACCACATCCGTATATATCATTTATATATTAGTATCTAAATTAATATATCGCATAATATCGCATAATATATAGCTATCCATACATCTTATCAATGATAACTTATCATATATTATATAAATTACATTTTCTCTTCTCTAATATTGAGTATAAGTTATGATAATTGAAAGCATTTCTAATGATTAGATATTGATTTTTTTGGTTATGAAATATGTTTAAATGTAATATAAAGGCCGCAGAATAATGTTTCGCAGCGAACCTCAAACTAAACATTAATAATACATAACAAAAGCGTTCAATTTTGCTATAAAAACAAAATATCCCTCAAAAACACTCTATAAAGTCTTTTACAAAAATTATATTTTTATTTTTTGAAAGCATTTCGCTTTCTCTCTCTTTTAAAATCTAATTTCAGATAAATAAGGGTTGAGTAAAACGATTCATTTGTCAGCTTTTATTTCTACACAATTTCTATAGAGATTCTGGAAATTCTTCCTTAACTCGACATTACATTTGGAGAATTGAATTTCTGTATTGTTTTGCGCCATAAACTATTGCCGGTATTTTGTTACCAACAAAAGCACAGTATTATCTATCCATTCATCTATCTATGTGTCCATATATACAGATATACGGTATATAACGATAATAATGGTAACAAAAGACATACTAAACCTAAGAACTGAGGGCCGCCCACCAGAAAGCCCATCGTCTCGGCTACTCTCCATCCGAGATAATTAGCGATAACTGTGGGACTGGTCTTACGGAGCAATTTAGACAACCGTATCATATAATGCATATCGACGATCACATTCATGTCATTCAATGCATTGGCACTCATGTTATGGTTCTGTAAGACATTAGCGAATATATCAGTCCAATTGACTTCTGGTATAAAACAGTCTAATGTCTTGAATTGTCGCTCCAATTGAAACTCCTTTCCCATACTTTTCTCTGAGATCTTTGTTAACGAAAAAATAGAGTAAATTACTTACAAGTGATGGAGTGTTGCCATCACTTTTCCCTCTCTCTCACACACTCTCTCCCTCTCACTCTCTCCCTCTCACTCTCTCCCTCTCACTCTCTCCCTCTCGTGAAGCATTAGCTCTGAAGGACAAACAAATCGATTTTATATCGAAAATAAATTTAATATATGGTTTTTGATTGAAGCGTTTCTAATAAAAGCGAATCCGTGTCTTAAATGTCTTATGGCTTGTGAACGAAAAAGTGTTGCCGAGAAATGATGGGCGAGAATACGAGTGCAAACGGAAGACAAGTGTCACTTAATATAAACACGTTTGACATAAACGGAAATCAGACATAAAATCCTTAAACCTTAATGTTTTCTCAAGTCATTCATATGTTTGTATTAACTTCAGAGCCGAGGCTTTTGGTGGCAAAAGGAGAGGAGAAAGAGATATGGAGGAGAAGGTGGTTGTGATGACGGATCGATATTTGGGACACCTATTCAGTGACAGTCACTGATTTGCAGACCTTTGCAATCTCAGACTCAAACTTTATGATTTCGATGGCAGATGTGATTGTCTTGTTGTCTGAGGGATGAACACTCGCCGGTGCGCCGAATAGTACGGACACGTCATGTATATATTTGGCATAAGAGGCGATGTCTTTCACTAAACTCTTTCTATTCATATCCGATAGTATTGTTTGCGACAAAACAAACGATGAATGAGAGATCTGTTTTGGATATTTCATTGACAATTATTTCTTGTTATACTGTAATATCACTTGTATTTGCATTTATATTAAAAAACTATATTTTATCGATAAATGAGAAAATTTAAATTAAAAGTAAAGCGAAAAAGTATTTGAATTTCATATGACTTTCATATTAAATATTCTCTAAAAATCTTATATTAAATTCAATTCGTTTCTCTTGTATTCACTATAAGTTTTAAAAGCAATAAATATCTGAATTGAATTAAATTGAATACGAATTTCTGTTTTGAATCGTTTCTTGTAATTTGATTTTTAAATTACTTCACTATTTATGTCTATATTATGTTTTTGGACTTAAATTTATAAATTTGACTCTAAATGCAATGAAATGCATGAATAAAAGATACATAAGAATTGAATTATTATACTTTGTATATATTGTATATATAAAGTGAAACTAAATAATAATAGCCATAACACAAGGAAAAGCCTTAATATCAATATGTAGTGTAATGTGCAGTGATATACAGTATACAGACTAATGTACAGAATAATGTATACAGTAGTGTATTATATACAGTGCATATTATACTTGCTTTGAGTTGTTTGACTGAGTTTTCATTAACAACATAATCCAAATTTATTAATACATCGCTCCTAATGTAGGAGAAAATATAAGCCAGAGCATTTTGCCACTTATAATCATGATGAATGGTAGTGGTGTTGGAAATGATAGGCCAGCCTCCCATTCCTTGTAAAGTAGCCATTAATGACTCAATATTTAGTGAATTACTTTGTTTGCAATTCTGATACATCTGAATGGTATCCTTCACGACAGTCAGTCCATCGCTTCTTTCATTAACGTCTTGCGAGAGAATTGAATCCAAATTTGTATCGATTTGTTGCCTTAATTTGACAAAATTGTCGTATTCTTTGCCACCGTTTGACAACAATTGGACCAAATATTCCAAGAGATGCGAGTCTTCCCATCGGCCGCAGGCGTAGTCATAGAAGTTGTCGCAAGGATTTAACGTTTTGTTCAAATACTTATTCATTTCGGTCGATATCTCGTAGCACTCGTCGGTCAGACACATGTCCGCCCGCGAGAGCTCACTGTAATCGTAATCCGTCTCCAATTCATTACTCAAATACCGGCGAAATAAATAAAACATTAAATTTAAATCAATGGCCCCTTAATTATTCACGAATGCAATCAATAAAAACACTCACTCCTCGTCTTCATCAGCGGTGAGAGATCGAGATTTATTGCCCACAACTCTGGGCTTTAATGAGCTGCCGGTGAACATCGGATTCTGACCCACGCCTGCCATTCCTGGCACTCCTGACCCACATTTCTGTGCGTCGAGTCTAGCGATTGAATCGATTAGGGGTTGTCCGCCGTCACCGCACTTGAGATTCTTGATCTGTTGTTCATAATTTCCGGCGACAATCCATCGCATACGACAATCGCACAGCACATGACCACCACATCCACGGCCCATATCTATGGTATTTAATTGGTTGTCATTGAGAAACGGTTCAAATACGGTTTGATTGAGAAATGTCAGATTCCGGTTACAGCCGCTGCTGAGACCGAAATAGATTTTGATCGGTCTGTTGGTTATGAGATGATAATCAAAAACAATAAAGATAGCGGTTATACGAATGAAACACATGTCACATCCCATACCTATTAGCGTCAATAAAGGCCTGGCTATCAAAGCTGTTTCCATTCAAATGATTTCCCGTCAAATCAATGGCAAGCGTTTTATTTGATGGCTCATCAAAGCTGAATGCCTTACGGCTGATGTAAGTAATGGCTTGGTTTGAAAGGCTGAGTGTCCGCAGCGATGGCAACGATGCGAATGCATGGGAACCGACGGATGTGATGGAAGCGCTCACTCCCAGACCCAACTCTATATCCGTTAACTCTGTTTGAATACTTCGCTCGTCTCTCGGCTTAAACGCCCTAATTGTCAGCACAATTAATAATTAATTTTAATTATACATTTGTTTTACTTATTAATGTATAGTATATTCTCTTTGAATGTATAGATATTTGTCATTTTAATAACTCTGGCTAACAGTGCACTGCAAAACTGCATAAGGAATAAATCTTTTAAACAAATAGCTGTTGAGGTTTTTCGGTGTGCGATAAATATTAAAGTGTATATAAAATATATTAGTATTAAATATGGTTAAAGCTTACGAAGAAGAGAAGGCACTCAAATGAGAGGGCAATTAATCATTTCGTGTGTTAACTAACGCTTTGATTAATATTTCAAACGAAATATACATATGGGATAAAAGTGGAGGTAAAGCCCGAAGTAGTGAAATAAATCTTTCCGAAACGTATTACCAAAAGTGGTTTATTATTGTAATAAAAAGTAAATCCAAATATAAATGCATTACATTATAAATAAGAAATAAGGGCCGAAATAGCGGTAACAATAAAGGCATATTTAATATGATAATAATAATAATGATATAACTTATATAGTTATTGTGCCATACCTTTCGGGAATGGTATGGATATTACTGCCAGAAATGACCAGTCGTTGCAAGTTTTTCAACAGAGATATCGATTCAAATAAGTTATAATTGTGGTCATCACTGATGGATAAATTGGTGGCGAATGCGAACAACTCTTTCACATGAAGGTGTGTACCCCTGAAGGCATCTCTATGTATATGAGTTAGTTTAGTGCCGCCCAACAGAATCTGTCTGAAACGGATGCCTTTGAATTGGTTGGCCTCCAGTCGTGACACCGATCGGGCGTTTAAATACAACGCCTCGAAGTCTCGGTCCGATTCCGGCAGAAAGCGAGCGATCCTTTCAAACACACTATCGATCGCAATGTCTGATCCCTTGCATGATATCTCTCTGGTGGTAGAGTTGCAGATACAGGGAATCATTAGCGACTGTGGCGGACATAAAGCGCCGTTTTCTGTGCCATTTATTTCACATAAAAGTAACACTAATATCACGACTGAATAGAAACTAATGATCTTTAAATACATTCTCGAAATGAATTAAATATTGCCGTGAATTCAAACTAAAAATGTATTAAATTCTTGAGTTAGAAAAGAGTAAAATTCAATTTCATTCGGTACACAACAAATGATGGGCAGAAATAAATCTAAAAACAAAAATCATATGAAAGTAAAAGATTATAAAAAAAACTAGCATTCATTTGATTGATGGCATTTACTTTTCGCCAGTAAAAAATATATCTAACCGTAATATAGTTTATAAGTTTAAGAGTTAGTTTACGTAACAACAGTCTGTATGTCTGTAGTTATCAATTAGTATTAGCTATCATTTCCTCTGCGATTCCCAATTAGATGTGTAAACAAATAAGTGTTGAATTGACAACAGATTATATGTTTGGGCAAAAAATAATAACACAATTTACTAATCGATTATCAATTTTTTCACTTCCCTTCTAATCTGTTGTGTAATCCAAACCTTCGCACAGTTTTCTTTCACTTAATGAATAACTTCTGATAAAAGAGATTGAATTGAATTGAAATGCTTTCTAACACTGGCTTTCAAAACAAATTACTCTTTCTCTCAGATATAACATTATATTAATTCCTCGTCTCGTATATAATGTAATATATAATTGAATTTTTCATTAGTATCTGAATTATAGAAACTAAATGTAAAAAATCCATTGATAAAAATATTAATAATAAATGTGTGTTATTTATACCATAAGATATCACGATTTGATTTCAACAACTAATAAACAAATTAATGTCCAAATGTGATTAAAACGAGTATTGTTTATATAATTCACTTGTAATACAAGTTAAATATTTCATTAATAATAAATGCAATATATATTCGCAAACACACAAAATATAATAAAGAAATCGCGATTTTATAACAGAGAATATATCATATTTAGAGTAAATAAAAGTGTATTTCTTATAATATAGTGAATGAGAAGAATGTGAGAATGTATTGAAAAGATAGTGTCATTCAATTCATGAATCAATTTCCAGAATTGAAACCCTATTTCTGGTAACGATTCTAATCCTATACACAACACAACTGTCTGTCAAAACTCTTTTGTCAAAATTGGACTCAAATGCAAGAAATGTGAGAGAATTCGCTCGCCTTATGTGTGAAGTGAAACACATATCCATCGCTTCACTCAATGAAAATGCTTTGAGACCATTAATTCAATTATTAAACACAATATGTGTCTCTCAATGTCTCTCTCAAACAGTTAAGTTATGTCTGCCTTTCTCTTTGTGCCCGAAAAGTGCAGTATTTGGCGCACAAGTGGTCAATCATTTCGGATTTGTTTCACGCATTCAATCGGTTGCCAAACAATTAATTCATTTAACACTCCATTTGTATTGAATTGAATAAAGAAGTCATTCATAAAAGTGAACACTTCTCTCTCTCTCTCTCTCTCTCTCTCTCTCACTCTAGAGGTGTTTGCCGTCGCATAACGAACAACGATCTGATCCGTCAGCGACTGATTGTCTACTTATGTCTTGTGCTGATCGGCGGTCTATNTCTCTCTCTCTCTCTCTCTCTCTCTCTCTCTCTCTCGCCAACAAATCTCTTCCAACCAAAAACCTCTCGACATCTCATCTCCTGATATACACGACATCTGTTTGCTGTGAATCTCAAAGTCTGTCCCCAACGCCACAGAAAAAGTGCCAACTAATGGATATTTGTATTCAACATTTATTTGAAGCTCTCATAAAATCCCATAAAACTCAACGCAACGCTGTATTAAAGTCTTGAATAAAATCAATAATATTGTGTGAGAAATGACAGAATCGTTGTGTTTTGACGCAAATGTATTTTTCGGATGAAAATATAAATTATTATAAATTGAAAAATACCATAAAATTGATTACATAAACAAATATTATTCATAAATATATATTTTTGAAAAATTTACATCAAAAACGAAATGATTTGTCAATTATTTAGATCGATGCCTAAAAACAATCCAATCGTATATAAAAACGCATACATTTTTGTACAGAATTTCGTTAGTAATTCATCACTCATTTGGGAGATTCGGACCGATGGGAGGCTTACGTTAGTATTAATCCAAAGCCTCCCAAAGGGGTATAAAAAAATTATTTTTAACAAAACACAAACACATATATGAATACGACAACTATAATAATTATTAATTATAATACGGATTAAAATTATCAACAAATATAAACCTAAAATTAAAAACTTAATAAAACATTTAATGAATTTATGAATAATTTAATAATAACTATAAAAAGTTGAATTTGAATTAAATTAATAATTAATTTCTAAGAATTTCGATTAAGTTTAGGCGGTTTGACATCAATGGCGAACCGCTTATAGCCGTACCGATAGGTGAGCAGCCATGCGGTGGTCGCCCAGACGGCGGCCACCAGTTTCTGAAGCATTGTATGGTAGAAGAGTGAGGTCTGCAGTAACATAAAGTCCCAAATGAGTGATAACACGGTTATTAGAATAAACAATAGCCGCACTATTTTTGAGTGTTTATTATAGAGACGATATTGTTCTGGGTTTGGGATCAGCTCTGAGTTATCGTTGTTTGTGTTCTGAGTGAACAATTGATGGCCAAACGGTTCCCAACCGATCATAACAGCGCTCTCTTCGATCAAAATCAGGTTCGAGAAGATTAGGAGAAACGTGTGGCCACTGATGTCAAACCCAGGGATCCATTTGTAGCCACTTTTAACACAATTAATTTTATCGTAATTAATGCCCACAACTGAAACACAAAAAGACATTTAATTAAAAATAGGTCACAAATCAATTAAATTAAAATCAACAAAAATGTCTGATTAGATAATGACTTGACATTTAAGGCAAATGTATAGCATTTCCAGCGCTTAATGTTGGCATACAATCACATTGAATGATAGATTTGTGGGGAAAGATATAATTGATTGAAATCTCGTAATGAATACCTGATTGGGACGTAAGGCACGAACCGGTCATGTCTTCGAAGTAGAGGAAGAAATTGGTGGACAAATACCAGACAACTGTATTGAACACAAGTCTAAACATCTGACGCGTCCGCAAATACGGCACCAATTGTTTCAATCTATCAAACTTAGTGTCGGTTCGGGCGGACAGCGGCCGTCGGGTGAGTCGGCCGTTGGCCTCACTCTTGAGCCGGTCGTCGGCCAATACGGCGGAAGTGATGGCAATGAGCGGAGACGTGAGCACTAGTGTCCAAAACCAGCCGATTTTGACGAACCACTGGTTGAGGACATTATTCTTCGCCACTTTGAACATAAAGGATCGCGATATCAATGGCGCGAAATCATTCAATAGACCGCCGATCAGCACAAGACATAAGTAGACAATCAGTCGCTGACGGATCAGATCGTTGTTCGTTATGCGACGGCAAACACCTCGAGAGTGAGAGAAGATAATACAGTTGTAACGGACCAACTCATCCCAAGCCGTGGACAACACACGCAAACACTTACCCATCGATATCATGGCCAAGACGTGCGGAAGCGATGTATTAGTGGTCATGAGTTTCTGTTTCGTTTGCGGATTATCAGCTCTGGAAGCGCTGTCTTTGCTGTTCGCCTGTTGTTGTCCTGAAGCCGACTGTCGGCTGAATTTCAACAGCTTTTGATTTGTCTTTGTTTTGGCCATTCATTCAAACCCTTTGATCACAACTTAAGGCATAAAATTCAATACTAATTGTCGACTAAAATAAGGATTAGTTTTGGAGGAAAAACAATACAATAAATAATAATCACAACAAAACTTGTGTTTTAGACGTGTGTTTGCGTTGCGTAACCATTGAGGCCAACACACAAACAACGTTACGGCATCCGTGAGGTGGGCGTCACTGCTAAGCAGTTGTGGTTTGCGCACAGTTTAGCCCACAAAACAACTGTAACTCTTTAAAGGGTTTTATTTAACATGCATTCAATGTCACAGTATTTAGAAACACTCACTCCTAATGGGAATAACCATTCAGACGGTAAAGCCATCTATTGATCCGCTTTTGTAACACTTTTTTACATTCAAACTAAAAGTTAAAACACTTTAAAACACTTTATTTAAAAAACTGAATTTTAATACAAAATATTTGACACAAAAATATA